GCAAAGTAATATCTATTAAACTATATATTTTCTTGAAGATTATATGAGTTCTGACCTTCTCAACTACTTTTTACTTATTTATTCTACATATTCAAAACTAATTTTGAAAAGAAGAAAAAATGCATACTGATCATTATTTAGAAAACTAGCACATAAAAAGGCAAATAAATTATTTCCTATAGTATAAAACACAAAGAACAAGATTTTTTTTAAAAAAAAATACATTTATTAGTGAACTAAATATTTATTCTATAAAAATGGTTTATTATTAATAAAAAAATTTATAGTCGATCAATTTTGTATGACATATTCGACTGATAAATTTTACATTTTTAAAAAGAGGTCTGGATGTGTAAGAAAATACTAAAGATTTGAATAATTAGCTTTTAAATATATCGACCAATAGTTTTTATAGTGGCTATTAAATAAAGTATGAAATAAAACTAAAAGGCATTTATAATGGTTGTGTATTCATTAATTTAAATAATTTATACTAACCTTGATTAAATAGTTATAAACTATTTATATTTATTCGTTAAAATATTTAAACAGAATAATTTACAGTCAAATTACCTTAGCAATTGTTCTAAATATAAATTCGAAATTATAAGTAATGCCAAGAAAAGTCTGTAAGCGCTTACACTCTTACGATCTTAATTTAAACATTACAAGATTTAATTTCTAATAAACCTATTTAGTATTTAAAAAAACTATTAAAAGTAATTCTGTTTGATAAAACTTTATTTTGGTTTTTGTATACTGTATTAATATTGCTTACTAAAATTTTAAAGATCCTCTCGCATGCACTTAAAAAGTATTTTGTGTAAAACAAAGTATTTTTTTTTATGCTATACTGTAACAATAATATCTTTTATTTAGAAATAATCAACATAATCTTCTGTTTGTATCACGAAACTATTGTGTTACGAATTAGTGAAATCGTAATTCTTGGCTAACCTATATACGTAATTCTTGGCTAACATATATACAGTAAATACAGTATATCGACCCATCAATTACTATTCCTGCATTCGTAAGAATAATTAGCTATATAGTAATTAATACGCAATATTGATACCCATATTGAGAAATTTAAAAGTTAAAGTATATGTGTGGCGTACTACAGCTTGTCAATGAGTGAATCATATAAATACGTATCATTTCTGCCAAACATAAGTTTTAAGTAAACATTCATTTTGAAAACATTTCAGAAAACAACAATATAAAGATATATCTCTGCAATAATTTACCAACTCATAAAGGATGTCTCAATCATATAATTTCCCACCCACATTAAGTCCACTAGCTTATGTAACAATTTTTCATATTCCTTTGTTCGCATTTATATTCTTATCTCTTAAAAAGCCCATAACCAGCAAGCTTCACATTTGCGTGCTTTGGATTATAATCTTTATTCAAGCCCTGATACCTTTTATATATCATGGAAAGTATTACCCACGCATGCATTTTCAAATAGCAGTACTTGCGACACTTTATGCATCCAAAATGATAATATGGATGAAAAAAAATTATCTATTTTCTATCAATCAAGAAACCAAATTTCCATCATTCGTCAGCACATTATTTAACTGGCGTATCGATGTAGTAACCATTCCTCCTGATGAAAAGAATTATCAAAAATATATTGATTCTATAACGGTTACAGATCTTAATTTTAAGATAATCAATCACTTAATTAAAGCTGTTATTAAATTTGTGATTCTAAATCTTTTAGTAGAATATTTAAAATACAACAAACCAGAAATTCCGAAAAGATCATATAGGCTACGAGTTTTAGATTATTTAATAACCGGACATCCATTTATCGAAACATATACCTTCTTTTATTGCTTTTTGTGGTCAATTCATATAATTTTAGCCTTTTCACTCGTATGGAACAAAGCCTGTATTTTATTTGGGATAATCTTAAGACCCTTGTTATCCGATAGTGTAAAAGAAAATAAAAAACTGCAAGAACCAAAATCACTTAAGATAATCATCAAAGAATGGTTAATTCTTTCCCTATTCTACACGAAACCTCTAATGGGTAATCCAATCTTATCAACAGATCCCCGAGATTTTTGGTCAAATCAGTGGCATCAAGTATATGGTGAAATATTTCATGATCTTGGCTACCTTCCAGTTCGAAACTATTTTAAACACAATAAAATTCTTGGAAGAATGCTTGGAGTTTGTTCGGTTTATTTGATAAGTGGATTATTTCATGACTACATAGCAATAGTGATTGTTAATTATTTTTCAGTAGATTATATAACGTTTTTTTTGTTTAATGGATTACTTTTAATTTTGTGGGAAGCTGTTGAAGGAAGGATTTTAGGAAAGAGGAAGGATATAAAAGATAGGTTTATAATCAGGAGTTTTAAGAGAGCGCTATTTATACCACTTTTGCTGTTTAGTACACCGCTGTTTGCGGAACCTTTTATAAGGGGAGGATTTATATATTCGGATCTAGATATATATACAAATCTAACTAAGTGGATAGATAATTGGAAAACCATGTGATTTTATTATTTATATATCTGGCTAAAGAAAGTTGGGTGTTTAAGTATTACTATATTAAAGATATAATTATTTTAGTTTTATTTGCATACTTACGTTTTACTCAAAAAAAATATTAAACATATCTGCGGTATTTCTTCCCATCCAATTTTTTGTTAGGTTCAATTCTTTAATCTTATTCATTGTTATTATTTATCATAAATTCAATGTAAAACATTTTTCATTAATTGTATTTAAATATTACATTAATAACATTATGACAATTTAGCATATATTCAGGATTAAGTCTTTGACTTTGGACTCTGCCTATTTATGTCACCGTAAATTAACCAAGCCGTCATCTTTTTCGGAATCAAATTTATATAAACAAAAACAGAAAATTTAACGCCTTGGACTAGTTTTATTAAAATTGATTATATAAATCACTATGGAAATTTGCTTCTAACTGCTATGCTTTTATATGGAAATTTGGAGATATATAAAAATTAATTAATGTTCATTAATACGAAGAAAGTTTTTTGAAGCGAATGCATAAAGCTAGATATCAACAATTATCTAATAAATTATTTATCATACAATACATACGTGCGTACGTTCATATGTTGAAAAAGTGGGAAATGGCTTCAGGGTACAGTA